TTTTGTATGACACTGAGTCAGATGCCTTCATCCCTCTTTCTTCTTTCTTTCTTTCTTGGAAACCACCTTACTATGTAGCCTGGCTATCCTTAAACTCCCCGTCTCGCTGCTGGGATAATGGGACTTTGCAACCATGCCTGGTGGAAGCTGAACTTTTGGTCATAACATTCTTTTCCCTCTAGTGGTAGTGGCTAGACCAAACCCAGGGCCACCGCCTTGCTAAGAAGGGACTCTACACATTGTATTTTTCATTTTAAAAAGCTTTTTGTGTGCGGGTATTTTGCCTGCATGTTGTCCGCTTGACCACTGGGACAGCTCTTTAGCCCCGAATTACAGATTTTCAAAGGGATCATTTAGTGGAACTGTTTTATTATTTTTAGGTTAATTTTTTTAATGAACTTTTTAACATTAAAAAATTTTTACATCATTTTAAGACTAGAAATCCTTTATATAGACATTTAAGTCTTTGTTTCTGTATTATGTCAAAACAATATGCAGTTAAGCAACAGGGAGACTCGGAGATGGGAGGAGAGTATGAAGTGCACGTCGAGGCCATCACACAGGACACAGGTGGCACAGTGACTTGTACCTGGTAGGTGACTTGTATCTCACAGTGGAGCCTGGACCACAGCAGAACATCTGTGAAAACCAGTTTCTTCTACCTGCAGATAACACCCCCTTAAAACTGAGAAGCAATTCCAGTCTCCTCACTGAGAAAAGGTCATTAGAGATATGTCAAGTGACGAGATTTACTAGTAATTGTTTTATTAAAAAGCTGAAGCCGGCCGGGCGGTGGTGGTGCACGCCTTCAATCCCAGCACTTGGGAGGCAGAGGCAGGTGGATCTCTGTGAGTTCGAGGCCAGCCTGGACTACAGAGTGAGATCCAGGACAGGCACCAAAACTACACATAGAAACCCTGTCTCGAAAAACAACAAAAAACAAACAAAAACCCCAGAAAACAATGTGTGTGGGAGGACAGACACACACACACACACACACACACACACACACACACACGGGGGGGGGGGGGGGGGTTGCTCACTTCTATTAGGGATGTGTAGGAGTTCTCTAACTCCCACTGCGACAGCGGCCAGTCTGGGTACAGTACACACCTCATTCTTTGCCCTTTTGTTTCCCCTCCTGGGCCATGGCTAACCAGATCTTTTGCCCCTTTTCCCCACTGATGACTTTTTCCCCTTTCCTTTCCTTCCAACCCTATTACAGAGCTGAAGTTGATCTGCACAAATACATAAAAATTAAAAACACTTTGAGTCAACTAGCCGACTTAGAGTGTTTTTAAGTTTCTGCACTTAGTAACGAGACTTTTTACGTATTGGGGCTATTTCTACCAGCTCTGGTCTCTTTGGACACTCAGTCATTCATCTTCCCATCCCCTCCCCTCCCCCAGACTTCAAAGAGCTGCCCAACCCCCAGGGGATGGGGGGAGCTGCTTTTGAGCTCTCAGATCCCCTGGACCTGGTCCCCGGTATCAGCAACTATTCGTTGCTGAATGGGTGATGCAGATGATGGATTTGGGTTGTTTCTGAGGATTAGTTTCTCAGAATCACTGTTCTAAATTGTCTTTAATGAATTAGAAGGGAATTCAACGCAAGCTTTCACTGTAGCCCTTTGTTTACAGAGGTCTAATAAAAAATGTTAGTTGGCTCATTTCTAGAAATGCTGTTTCAAATAAATATATTATTTTGCATTGTTATGGTAGAATAAACTAGTACTAACAGATGTCAAATTTTACAATGAATTTTGGACCATCAGTTCCACCACATATTATATGACCTGCGTCATAACAATATGGATATAATTAACACTAATAAACTATATCAAGTTATTAAGATAGTGTTTTGGCCTGAAGATAGGGCTCAGTCAGTATATAATTTGCCATACAAGCATGTGGACATGAGATAGAGTCCCCAGAATACATGTTAAAAAAGCTAGGCACAGCCCAGAGTAGTAGCACATGCCTTTAATCCCAGCATTTGGGAGGCAGAGAAGGGTTGGTCTCTGAGTTCAAGGACAGCCTGGCTGTATATCAAATTTCAGGCCAGCCAGGGCTACATAGTAAGACCCCATCTCAAACAAACAAAACCAAACCCCAATGGTACCTACCTATGCTTGTAATTTCAATGGCTGGAGGAGGCTGAGACAGACCAGTTTCTGGGGCTCACTGGGAGACCCTGTCCTAAGCAAAAAGGTGGATGAATCCTGAGGAATGACGTCTGAGGCTGACCCTCTGACCTCTACACACATGCACTAGTATGGAGTCACACGAGAGTGTTTTAGCTTAGCTTAAAACAGACTTTTACTCGTTAGCACTTGTGCTGTCACGAACCAACGCTTTGATGGTATCATTTCTCACTTGATTTACTGCAGCCTTGCATTTACTACAGGTTAGAGCCAGCAGAGGTCTGATTATACTAACATAAAAGTTTGGGGCTGGAAAGATGGGCCAGGGAGTAAAGGCACTTGCTGCCAAGCCTGGTGACCTGAGTTTGATTCCCGGGACTCACGAGGTTAAAGGAGAGAACCAATTCCTGCAAGTTATCCTGACTTCCATATGCATGCTGTGTATGTGTACTAAAAGTAGAAGTTGGATCGTGTTGACTCTCGGTTCCGAACTTTGCAGTGGCATCCCATTTCTTTCAGAATTGCCACAATGTTTTTACCATGGTTTGCCTCAAACCATACTGAAGTCTTGCGTCTGACTACTACACCAGCTCCCATCTCAGGGACTTTGTTCTCTGCTAAGACAGTCTGTCTTTCTTTTTTGTTGTTGTTGTTGTTGTTTTTCAAGACAGGATTTCTTTGTGTAGCCCTGGCTGTCCAGAACTGGCTCTGTAGCCACATTCAGAGATCCACCTGCCTCTGCCTCCTGAGTGCTGGGATTAAAGACAGGGGACACTACTGCCTGGCTAAGACAGTCTTTCTATAGCTAGCCATGTCCTGACTTCTTTCAGGCCTCTGTTCAAAGAGCATCACATCAGAGGGCACTTTCTTAGCTGCCTTCCATGAAACAGCCCCCACTGCATAGAGCTATTCTCAGTACAATCACAATTGGATATCTTTTATCATTCCTTTCTCCTCATTACTAGTTTGAAGTTGCATATTCCTGTCTTTCAATGGTTATCTGAGTTACAGCATGCATTGAAAACTCTTATTAGGTTACTTACATACAAACATGCACACATATACACACACAAATATTGATGAGCCTTCAAAAATTTTTTATAGTTTCCAGGTATCTGCCAAAGTAATCCAAGTTATGTTTTATTTCTTTAAATTAAGGAAACATTGGTTTTTGGTGCCCCTCCTGGGACCTGGGAGGTTGAATTAAGAGCCTCAGGCAGGCTGAGTGAGTGACCTAATACCACATGGAACTACACCCACAGCTTGGTTATCTGTAAGTCTGCATTTGGCACTGTAACTGAAAACTTACGTTTAGGAAGCCAAGCACTTACAATTATAATGTTGTCTGCAAAGGAAGACACATATTTATTTTTTTCTTGTAACATGACCGTAGAGACAAAAAAAAAAAGACCCAAAAATGGAATAAAGTGTTCACAATTTAACAATCAGACTGTGGGGAACCAAGAATGACTTGTGGTGTCTTGTACAAGCATTTGCAGGCTACCTCTGAATGACACGTGGTGTCAGACCAGGAGGTAACTAGTGCTGTGAGACAGACGACAGGACAGAAGTCAGCTGGTCCCTTGAGTGTGGACATCACCCACACAAACTGGCCCAGGAGATAAAACTAAAACTAGTTTTGCCGGCTTTTCAAAGGCCTCCCACCCGCTCTCAGCCATGCTATCCCTTCTCCAGGAGCGCCGTGTGCGGTTGTACAGCAGTGTGTTCAATAAACTCTCCACTGCCGGTTTCTCTCTTTTTTTTTTTTTGCAAATTCATTAACAGCCCAAGTGGCACTGTCTTCAACTCAATGGACAGTCAGAGATAACCTTGAACCTAGATCACAGCCGGAGACAGGAAAAGTTTTGCAGCTTGGAAATTACGCCAGTGTTGTTCCACTTCAAGCCCTCCTCCCCCAAACAACCACTACCTCCTTAAGGGAAGAGCCAGCCCTTTGAGGTCCTAGTCAGGTAAAGAGGACCTCCTAATGTCCATCCCAACTCGTTATCCTTTTTCCTCCTCTTCTCTGAGCGCAAAACCAAAGTTCTGTTTTCCAGCTAGCTGGGCAAAAGCCGCTTCCAACTTGGACTAACTTTCTGGATGCTGCCTTTCCAGTTTTTGCCCTGGTCAGTCAGTCTCTCCCATCTCACCATCTCTCAGGTTATCTTCGAATGGGTTCAGTTTTGTTTTCTATGTTGACTAACCTTACACAGATAAGTCAAAATGAGGCACTGAGGAAGGCTAATCCTGTCGGACTGGCGACTTTTAAGAGGAACGTGGGTCCTAGAGACACCAGGCGCTTCCCCCAGCGGCAGGCACACAGGAGACACCCCGTGAGAATTTGGGAAGAAAGGGGCCGTAGCCTCCAAGACCGTGAGAAAACACATTCTATTGTTTAAGTCACCCGGTGTGCGGTGTTTTTTTAAGGCAGCCTTAGCAACCTGATGCATGCCTTTAGGGACATTAAAAATACATACCCCGGATTTTTTTTTTTTAAGTTTATTGTTTTCTAGGCCCCTGTTGCCATTTGGGTTGTCGTCTATTTACTTTTCTACTTATCGATTTGGCCAGAATGAGGTTAGGAGAAGGCAGGAACTGCTTGCTATTTAAGGCTGCATCCTGAAGCCTGAAGAAGAATGAAAGAATGACGGAGAAGCGGCTTCCCCAGGAAGACCGGCTGGGCTACCCGGGCCCCGGAGACCCTGAGCAGACGCCGGTGGCTCCGCTGGGCACCGCCCCTGGCTCTAGCCGTCACCGGCGGCTTCCGGCTTCCGGGATCTGGGTCGCGAGGCAGCCGGGAGGGCGGAGCCACGGGCAGGGCGCCGGCGCGGGCGGCGTGGGGTGGGCGGGTCCCGGGTGGAGGCGCCGGGCCCGCGCAGGGGCCTTAGGGGCGGGGTGAGACGGCCGCACTCCGGCATCTGGACCGCAGCGGCGCCGGGCGTCCTCGGCTGGAGCAGGAGATGCTCGGGTAGGACGGCCCTCCGCGCCGAGCCTCGCTCCCGGGTGCAGCGGGAGAAGCCGGTGTCCAGTCCCGAGGCCGACGGTACCCTACGTCCCCACGGAAGCCTCGGTGCGCGCTGGGCGCCGCGGTGTGAGCGTGGAAGGCTGGCGGGAACGGATCCGCGCCGCCCGGGGCTGCTCCAGATCTCCTCCCGTGAGTAGGCAGCCCCGCTGCGGGACTGAGGGCTGGTCGGGGTGACTGGCTAGCTGCGAGGTTCCGAGTGTGGGTTCCAGCAAGCTTCTGTGACTGTCAGCTGCTCCGGAAGAAACAGCTGAAAGTTTCTGCACTTAGTAACGAGACTTTTTACGTATTGGGGCTATTTCTACCAGCTCCGGTCTCTTTGGACACTCAGTCATTCACCTTTCCCTCCCCTCCCCCCGACTTCAAAGAGCTGCCCAACCCCCGGGGGATGAGGAGAGCTGCTTTTGGGCTCTCAGATCCCCTGGACCGGGTCCCCGGTATCAGCAACTATTCGTCGCTGAATGGGCGATGCAGATGATGGGTTTGGGTTGTTTCCAAATTTGCTGCTACGGTCAGTTCTGCAATGGTTCTGGTTGTACTTGACATACCGTATTTTTTTCCATTCGAGTTCTATGGGAGCACGTACCCCTCTGTCAGTTTTAATTATTTCTGAAAGGAGGATTCATTTCTCCAGCTGCTGGGCATCTTGGGTGCGTGATGATGTCGGTTGCTGTTTGCTCGTGCCAAAATGCAGCTGTGTGGGTTGTTTTATCAACTGAGATACTCAAGCTGAACTTTTTTTTTTTTCCCTTTGGTTTTTCGAGACAGGGTTTCTCTGCGTAGTTTTGGTGCCTGCCCTGGATCTCGCTCTGTAGACCACACTAGCCTCGAACTCACAGAGATCCAGAGACCCTCCGGAGTGCTGGAATTAAAGGTGTGCGCCACCACTGCCCGGCCGAGATACTCAAGCTGAACTTTAAGTTCAGATTTCTAATTGTTTATTAAAAAAAATAACTTTAAGGGGCTGGAGAGATGGCTCAGAGGTTAAGAGCACTGACTGCTCTTCCAGAGGTCCTGAGTTCAATTCCCAGCAACCACATGGTGGCTCACAACCATCTGTAATGAAATCTGGTGCCCTCTTTTGACCTGCAGTCATACATGCTGTATACATAATAAATAAATAAATCTTTAAAAAAAAATAACTTTAAAAGATGATGCCATGGGGCTGGCGAAGATGGCTCACCCGGTAAGGGCTTTTGCAGCCAAGTCTAATGCCCTGAGTTCAATCCTGGTGGAAACAGAGAATCGACTCAAAAGTTGTTGTGTGGCCTCCACACGCACCCCCCCCCCAATAAATAAGCACATGTAAATTTTTAAAAATTAAGATAATGCTGTTGTACAGCTTTAAAATGAAAAGGTTTTAATTATTAACTTAGCATTTGCTGAAGACCTAACATTGTCTCAGCACCGCATTCCTGTGCAGTACAGTTACCATCCTCATTTTAGAGACTGGGACACAGAAGCCCAGACTTGAAATGTTTAGAGCTTTATGTGCAGGTCTCAGGGTTCTGACATCAAAGATTCTTTCTTGACTCCAAATACATAAGCAGGCAGAAGGAGCATGCAACTTACCAGGTAGGAAGTCAGGTCAGAGTGTGTGGACGTTTGTACATTTTTGGGTGCTTGTCTCTGTATCTGTGTGTTTGGAGTTGATGGGTACTTCTGTATCCAGGACACTGTTATTTCAATATTGATGCCAAGTCTTATAGGCCTTTTTGCAGTTATAAATACATTTCTGGACTTCTGGCTGTATGATGGATGCTCTGGATCATGTCTTTCTTTTTTTTCTCTCTTTTTTTGGTTTTTCGAGTCAGGGTCCTGGAACTTACTCTGTAGACCAGGCTATCCTCGAACTCACAGAGTTCTGGGTTTAAAGACATGTGCCACCACCACCTGGCTGGATTGCTCCTTTCTTGCCTTTTGTTCCTCAAGTGTGGATTAGTGGGATGGCTCAGTAGGGAAGGGCGCCTGTCACGCCTTACAACCTGAGTCCAAACCCTGTGACCCACGTGGTGGAAGGAGAAAATGGACTCCCATAAGTTGTCCTGTGACCTCCACCGGGCACCGCGGCACAAGCACACAGACAAATAAATGAATAAATAAAGTTTTCAACCGGGCGGTGGTGGCGCACACCTTTAGTCCCAGCACTCAGGAGGGAGAGGCAGGTGGATCTCTGTGAGTTCGAGGACAGCCTGGCCTATAGAATGAGTTCTAGGACAGCCAGGGCCACACAAAGAAACCTTGTCTCCAAAAAAGAAAAGGGGAGAGAGAGAGAGAGAGAGAACACAAAGGTCTCAAACCAGCTCACAGGACTGTCTCCCAAAGAAACATTGTCTGCTTCCAGAGTTCTTCGGGTCACACTGGTCTCTGATGTTTCAGGGTCTCAACCAACTTTGGTGGGTAGAAGCTTACGATCTGAGGAGGACCCTACACCTGGGAAGCCTGTCATCAAAAGTTCCAGCAGTTTCCCCACCAGAAGTTGCCACCCCCAGTTAGGTGGGCACCGTCATGCCTCAGCAGCTCCTGATCACCCTGTCCACTGAGGCCAGCACCTGGATGAAGTTGAACCATCCTGGGAAGACCAAGGAGGGGCGCCCCCTGTGGGAAGTTGTGACAAAAATGTTTGAAGGAGAAGGTGAGAACAGCCTGAAAGTGGGAGAAGCGGTGGTCTTTTGGGGATAAGTTAGGGATAAGAAGGTCTATGTGGGGTGCATGTTTGATTTGGGGGTCGGGATATTTATGAAGGAAATGCTGGGCTCCAGGTGACTTTTACTATGCACCACTTCCATTTCTCATCCCCAGATGCAATATACAACAGGAAGATGGGCTGGCCACAGAATACCACCCCACTCCCACCACACCCCACCCCCCAGCCACCAGGTTCCTGAGTATGGGAATCTGACTCAGAACCGGAGAATCAAAAACTCTGTCCCCTGAATCTCAGGTTTTCTGCAAAACTCTTGGGCATCTAGACTCTAGTCACTGTCTTTGACAAGTATTAATCTTTTTGTCATTGTCTTCCTCTAAGTGGCAGGATCGAAATGTCTGACTGCTCTCATTTCTCCTAAGTTGTCAATTCCTTTTCGTTGTTGTTTTTAAGATTTATTCATTTATTATAGTGTTCTGTCTGCATGTATACCTGCTGCCAGAAGAGGGCACCAGATCTCATTATAGATGGTTGTGAGCCACCATGTGGTTGCTGGGAATTGAACTCAGGACCTCTGGCAAAGCAGCCAGTGCTCTTTACTGCTGAGCCATCTCTCCAGCCCGATTGTCAATTCCTTTAAGACCTGCCCAAGTCTCAGTCTGTTCGAAAGTAATTAGCTGGGGAGAGGAGTAAGTGTTTCATGTGATCTCTTCATTCACATCCATAATGCTTTGCATTCGGCCAAGTGTTTTGTTTTGTTGTTGTTTTTTATGTTCTAGCTGAGGGGCTTTGACTAAGCATCTTAACAGATGGAAGAAAAAAGAATAATTACCTCTCTTTGTTGTTGGTAATGGTGTTTTGTCTGTGTCTCATGTGTAGCCCAGCCTGACCTCCAACTTGCTATGTAGCAGAGGCTGGTCTTGAACTCTTTACCCTCCTGCTTCCACCTCCTGATTGCAGGGATTAGAGGTGGGTGCCACCATGCCTGGCATGAATAATTATCTTGAATGCTTATTGTTCATTGATGAGGTAGACACATGAGATAAAAATAGTAGCAGATAGCCTTAAAAGAGTTCTTTGGCATACAATGGGCATGACGCCGTCCTCTGATTGCATGTACTAAGGCATTTCCCCAAGGCAAATACCACTGAATCAGGTCTAGAAGAGTGTCTTAGTTTTTTTTTTGTTTTTTTTTGTTTGTGTGTGTGTGTGTGTGTGTGTGTGTGTGTGTGTGTGTGTGTGTGTTTTAATTGGAGAAAGGATAGAAAAATCTGTACCCCAAGGAGTGGGTCACAGAGTGAACCGTACAGTGGGGAATGCTCAGCCTAATCAAAGGTTAAGAATGTGGTGCCAAGCTGAGTGGGTGGCTGAGGCCAGCCTGAGTGACAGAGTGAGACCCTGTCTAAAAAGAAGAGCAAGCCCCGAGTGGTGTGGAAAGCTTTAGTCCCAGTGCTCAGGAGGCCGAGGCCGAGGCAGGCAGGTCTCACAAGTTCCAGGCCAGCCAAGGCTCCATGTGCTTTGTGAGTATATGGGGAAGGAGCCCCTGCCAGTGGGGCTGGGGAAAGTTTTTCTGTTTGGTGATCTGGGTAGGCACGCACCTCGTGGTTTTTCTCCTTCTGCAGCTCCGATATCCCATGGTACTGATGATGGGAGCCAACGAGAATGTTTATCGGATGGCGTGAGCCCCAGCGTCCCTGCAGCGGAATCCCAGGTGTGGTGGAATTTCCTATCATTTTCCTCACATTCCTTCTTAGATTTTAGGGATGTAAACTGTCTTTCTGAGAAGTGGAAGTAGGTAAAGACCAATAATTCAATCTGGGGAGTTCCATACAAGTTCCTTATATATAAATAATTAGAGTTCTGTGGTGGCAGTGTCCATTTTTATAGTGACTTCATCAGAAATGAACATTGTCCTAATTTCAGGGTAGAAAGCAAAGAGAGCAATACTGTTCCACTCCAGCTCCAAACCGACAGAAACCGTCTAAGATAAACATCCGTAAAAGAACCAAAGCGCTGGAGGGAGGGCTCCATGGCTGGGAGTGCTTGCTGCACACTGGAGAAGACCTGAGTTCCGATCCCAGCCTCGGCATAACAGTCTGGGTGTGCTTGTAACCCCAGTGCTGAGGGCGACAGAGATAAGAGGATCTCTGGGGCTTGCTGTTTGCCAGCCTCACTGAAGAAACCAAGCTTCAGGTTCAGAGAGAAACTCTGCCTCAACGGAATAAGGCGGAGAGTGACATGATAGAGGATACCCAGTGCCCTCCTTATGTTCCACCTCTGCAAACACAGGTGTCTTGTATAATATTTGAGGGACCAGCCTTAATATTATACACCCCAGGGGCTCAGGAGAGAGAACTACTAATGGCGAGGACTATTTTCAGAAAATAGATTCTCAGCACACTGAGCTCTATAGTCCACTTGCTTTAACTCCTCTGGCATAACATCCTATATACACAGCTTCAGTTCTGTTCTCGTGCCTAACTCCTTTCTTGCCTGATTTCTCTATCTATTACTCCCTCTAAGTTCTATCTTAATTCTCTCGTCTTAATTCTGCCTCATCTAGGTCCTTTTCAGCTTGTTCTTACCCAGCTAGTTCTTCCCCATCTGGCTCTTCCTCATCTTCCATCTCATTCCTCTAGTCCTCTCTTCTAGCCCTTCAACCTAGTTCTTCCCCATCTCAGTTTGTTCCTCTCAAGTTCTTACCCGTCTAGTTCTTCCATACTCTTTTTTCTTCTCCGTCCTCGTGCCCTGGAAGCCCTGGTATGTAAAGCCAGGCTTCCAGGGTCAAATGGAGGGGTGATAAGAATCACATTGAGAGGCAATAACCGTTAATTATCATTTGCAACCCCAAAAGGAAGTGACCAATGGGGAAATGAATTAACAACTAAGGGCAAAATTCAGGTAATATCTAAGAAGAGGGATCTTATGTGCTCCACTATAGTCTTAAATGTGATTGGTAGAAAATATTAAGAATCTATAACTTGCTAGGTCAATGGGAGAAAATAAAACTGTCTTCTTTTTTCCTGTGACTCCTATCTGTCCAAGCTATCTGCCATTTTTCTGCAGGGTGGGGGAAAGTGTGCTCAGTTGCTAGGCAACCTGTGTACGGCTAGATGCCTCTGGTGATAGTTAAAGGGAGATCTGGAACTAGAGGTAAGGTTTGGGAAAGGAGGAAGAAAAGCTTAATTGGCACATCTGCCAGGCCTTCTCAAACAGGTAGCCTGGATGGTTAAGTCTGTTCTTTGAGAGTACAGAGGTATCTCTGATCAGGTACTTTCCTCCATCTGGGGATGGACCCGGCTGGATGCTGCCAATGATGATAATTACCGGGAGGCTTGAACTGGGGCTGTCAGTGCAGAAGGTTATCTAAATATTCCTAGAAGTGGTTAGGTAAGGAATTAGAGGTCTATAAAGTTAGTAAGGGTGTAAGAAAGGAGGGTCCGAGCTAAATTGTGTAAAGCTATTACTTAACGTCCACCTGACCTAAGCGGTGTCTCCTTGTGGAATTTATCTTAAATCAGGAGACTTGCATGTGGACTGTTATTACTGCTAGTCCTTGAAAGTGGCCAAGGGAGATATCAGATTCCAGAGGAAGCCTTTCCTGAGGCTGTTCTCCAAATACCTGGAATGTGTATGTCCAGAGAGTGATCAGTCCACACTGTTAGCCCTTCTTAGGGAAAAGTCAATTGGGAAAACTATGAAGGCACATGATTTTCATAACAGAAGACAGCTGATATATAACAAGCCAAGTAACACCAAAAGCTCCTTGGAATTTGGCTTCCTCTGGAGGAAATCCTTGATCCCTCCAGGTAGTGACTTTGCCATAACCAGCTGAGTTCTTATGATATATTCTGCAGCCCACAGCACAGGTACACACACCTGCACATGTGTACATATGCTACACACACATACATGCACAACAGATTGGAAAAGCAGTTTCTAACATAAATCATAACCATCAAATGTGTAAGCGAGAAGTACATTCCAAAGTTTCTAGTGATCTGTGTGCATGACTGTGACCATTGATATAGTATTAAAAACAGCCACATGAGAGGTAAATAGAGAAAAAAGTGGCCAGGCCACATAGACCACACCTTTCTCAGGTGAATAGGAAACAAAAGAATCCAGAACCATTTGGGGAATTGTGTCAGAAGTAGGTCATCACTGCCTGATAGAAGTTTTGTTGGGACAGAAGGAAATTCTAGAATAGGTATAAAGAAATACTTACAGACACTGGAGAGATGGCTCAGTGGTGAAGAGCACTTGCTGCTCTTACAGAGGACTCAGGTTGATTCCCAGCTCCAGTTGGATCCAACACCTCTGGCCTCATGGGCACCTGCATGTACATCGTGTACATACATACACTCAGGTACACACATACACATACAGTAGAGAAATAAATCTTAAAAAAAACCCAAATATTTACTAGGAGATTTTTGGAGGCCTGGAGAGATGGCTCAGTGATTAAAAGCATGCACTGCTCTTGCAGAGGACCTGAGTTTGATCCTAACATCCATGTTGGGTGCCTCAAAATTGCCTATAAGCTGGGCATGGTGGTACATGCCTTTAAGAGGCAGATGGATCTTTGACTTCAAGGCCAGCCCTGGTCTACAGAGCAAGTTCCAGGACAGCCAGGGCTATACAGAGAAACCCTGTCTCAAAAAACAACAACAACAAAAAAAAAAAAATTTTTTTTTAAAGAGAATTTCTTGGAAACAGAAGCATTTTCAGTGAAAATAATATGAGATGCAAAATTCAGTGGCTTGGGGCTTGTTTTTGTCTTGTGTGTGTGTGTTTTTTTTCTTTTTGTCTGTCTGTCTCTTTAGTTCTGACAGTTTTATTATTAATTAGTAGTATTATTTAGAAGAAAATAAGTTCTATTGAAATTTGGGCTTGAGGAAAATCACTTATGCTTCCTTTGAAGTTTCTCCCGTCTGAAACAAACACTTTGGACTGTCTTTTTCGTTGTTGTTTTTTGAGACAGGGTTTCTCTATGTAGCCCTGGCTGTCCTGGAACTCACTCTGTAGGCCAGGCTGGCCTCGAACTCACAGAGATCGCCTGCCTCTGCCTCCTGAGTGCTGGCATTAAAGGTGTGCACAACCCTGCCTGGCCTTGGGCTCTCTCCTTGAACAGACCTTCTTAGCATTACGCAATAGCCATCCGATTACAGCCATCCCACCCTGAACCTACTCAGTCTTATCTGAAGTGTGCTTCTTTTTAAAGCAGGGGTTCTCAACCTTCCTAACGCTGCGACCCTTTAATATACTTCCTTATGTTGTGGTAATCCCCAGGCATAAAATTATTTTTTGTTGCTACTTCACAACTGTGGTTTTGCTACTGTTAAGAATCGTAATGTGAGTATCTGGTATGCGACCCACAGGTTGAGAGGCCCCTGTTTTAAAGTCTAGCAGGGCGCCTTTGCCTGCAGCCTACTTTAACTTGGCTCTCCAGTTTTCCCACTTTGTTTGCACAGAGCCCTTTCCCGCCTTCCCTTTGAGCCTGTCTCCAGTCTGACCTTACGCAGCCAGCGCGTGCTGGTTTAGTCCGCTCACACGTGGGTGTTGATGTGGTGGCTTCTTTCTCTTCCTGTTTGTATTTGTTCCTGCGTTCGTCGTCGTCTACACCTTCTTTGGGATTGAATACTTTTTCAGGGTTCCATTTTGGTCTTATAATGAGTTTTGGCTACTTTTTAAAAGTCCCGTAGTGGTGCAGTCCCGTGAATCCAGCTCCCCGACCTTGTCTCTGTCAGTCCAGTCTACCTTAAGTGACAGTGACATTTGCTGCTCTGGCAAAAGACCTGGGTTCAGTTCCCAGCACCCACACGTGGCTCCTAACCATCTGTATGTAACTCCAGTTCCTGGGATCCAGCGCCCTCTTCTAACCTAGTGCACCAGGCACACGTGTGGTCCACATGCATGCATGTAGGAAAAAGACTCATACACATAAATAAACCTTCAACAGAAACAAACAGGCGACTTTGAGATTCCATCTCACTGAAGTCAGAATGGCTCTCATCAAGAAGAGAGGCAACAGATGCTGGTGAGGATGTAGGGGGAAGGAACCCTTACTCCCTGCTTGTGAACACAGCCATTATGGAAGTCATTATGGAATTTTCTCAAAAAAATTCAAGTAAGTCTTCCATATGATTGCATTATACCACTCCTGGGCACATACCAGAGGGCTCTGTATTCTACCACCAAGACACTCTGCACATCCATACTTACTGCTGTACTATTCACAGTAGCAAGAAAATGGAACCAGCCTCGCTGCCCATCAGCCTGTAGATTGCTGTGGGATGTCTCTCTGTACACTGTGAATGTGTGTTGCTCTGATTGGTCGATAAATAAAGCTGCATTGGCCTATGGCAGGGCTGGATGGAAGGTGGGAAAATCCTAGAGAGACAATGAAAGGAGAAAGGAGAGAAAGGAGACGCCAAACCACCATCCAAGAAGCAACGTGGAATGGGACGCAGGTAAAGCCACGGAACACGTGGTGATACATAGATGAATAGAAGTGGTTAATTTAAGATGAAAGAGCTAGCTAGCAAGATGCCTGCCATAGGCCACACAGTTGGTAATTAATTTAAGCCTCTGAGTAATTATTTTATAAGTGGCTGCAGGACCTTGGGGCCAGGTGGGACCGGAGAAACTTACCGCTGCATTTGATGGCTAATGCAGATGTGGTGTGCACACAATGGAACTTTTAACACGCTGTAAAGAAAAATGAAGTCGTGACATTTTCAGGACAGTGGATGGATCTGGAAATTGTATAAAGTCAGGGGAGCAGACTCAGAAAGACAAATACCACATGGTCTCTCCTGTGTGGATCCTAACGAAGAATGTCTGCATGTCTGTGTGTGGGTGGGGAAGTGTGGGAAGCCGTAGGAGATGAGAGGGACAAAGGTGTTGAAGTGGGAGGGGGCAGCGACGCTGGGTGACGTGAACGTGGGAAGGAGGCTGTGGGTGGACATGGAAGGGAACAAGCGGGCTTCAGGGGCACCAGGCCGAAGAAGGTTGGGGAGCCAAGAAAAACAAATTTTGTTTTAAAATGCCACAAGGAAACCTAACACTGTGTATGCTAATTTAAACTTTTTTCAAGAAAAACACACAAATGCGTAGGTATTAGGGACACTGAGTGTGAAGGCAAAAGCACCTCCTTCCCCGCCCGCCTGCTCGCCTCCTGTTCTCCCGTCCCAAAACTGCCTCCATCCGTGCTGTTCTTGGTCCTCTATTATAGCAGCGGTCTCTAGACAGACCCAGCAGCTACTCTTGGCGAAACTGGTGTGGAATCCCTCTGAACTTAGAATACTGCCAGAGCTCCTGAGGCTGTCTGGGGTGGACTGGCTCTCACTGACTGTTTGACATTCTAGGAAGCGTTGACTTTCAAGGACATAGCTGTGGACTTCTCCCAGGAGGAGTGGGGACAACTGGCCCCTGCCTACCGGGATTTGTATCGGGAGGTGATGCTGGAGAACTACAGAAACCTGGTGTCAGTGGGTGAGGACCAACCAGCCGTTCTGATTTCGTCTCTGCTGCTGTGATAAAAAAAAAAAGCAACTCCGGGAAGAGAAGGTTTATTCGTCTCATGATTTTAGTTCCAGTCCATTACTTTGGGGAAGTTGAGGCAAGAACTTAAGCATCACATCTACCGTAAAGAGCAAAGGCTAGAATACATCTTTGCTTGCTTGCTCTCAGCTAGCTTTCTCTACTCTCGCGTAGTCCAAAGCCCCAGACTGGGGAATGGTGCCACCCACAGTGGACTGAGGTCTTCTCTCATTAATTATGACAGCTTTCCACACCAACTTGATCTAGACAGTTCTTCAATTAAGAATCTTCTCAGAAAATCCACAAAGAATCAATAAAAAAGCTAAAAAATTATACATAAAAAAAGAATCTTCTTAGGTGATTAAAGGTTGTGTCAAGTTGAAAATTAAAAATTAACCATCATGCCAGCTTTCCTCCACAAACCTGCCCATTATGAGAGCCATTATTGGTAAACTGTTGATCTTAGGGGTTCACTGGGTTTTGACTGTGGGTTCTGTGTTAGAGATGTCTTGTTCCTTTGAAGACCATGTCAGGGCGTATCTGATGACTTCTTTAAGGGACAACTTTATTTGGTAGAGCTAGGAAAGAAAGATGTAACCCTGTTGGTTATCAGAACCCTGAATAGCCAAAAGCTGGACCAAAACTCTGAGGCCAAAACTCTGGGGCGGTTCTTAAACAGCAGCATCAACATTCATAGTTCTTTAACTCTCTGAGCAGGATATCGACTCTCCAAGCCTCGTGTGATTTCCCAGTTGGAGAAAGGAGAAGGACCATGGATGGCAGAGAGTCAAGGCCCAGAGGATCCCATTTTCGGTGAGACCAGGGTAGATGAGCCCTGTGGGGTAGGGATGCTAGAGTGCTGGGGTCTTCCTAGGCTGTGGGGAAGACTCAGGGCGCTGGCAGGGCCTACACTAGGTCTCACTTCAACCCTCCCATTGCTCCTTTCCTTCCCAAGCCTTGGCGAGTCTCCTCAATTAGAATGGAGAGAAGTCTTGTCCTCATTAGAGTTAAGTCAGATCCCCTCACAGGACCGGAAGGTCGTCTGACATGAAACATCTTATAGACGTTTGCTGTCTCTCTGAAACGGGTCTTTTTTTCAGTGCCAATCACATTGCACAGATCCTTTTCTCTTTTGCTTTTATTTCTCCTTTTCCCACTATAATTTTATAGTTTTCATTCTCCTTTTAACTCATGTATATAATTTTCCTCATAACAACTTCATAAAAAAGTCCTGCAAGAGGGTTGGCAAGACAGCTCGACACATGGAGGTCCTTGCTGCCATGACTAAAGCCCTGAATGTGACCCCTGGAACCCACAATGTGACAGGAGAGAACTGACTTCCTGAAAGTTATCCTCTGACCTCTGTCCACGTGTGCTGGGATATGTGTGCACACACAAACATGTAATTTAAATAATTAAAAGCTTTTCTCTCACAAATAATCAGGAAAGTTAAAAGAAATAATGCAGTAATGTTAAAGTGTTGGCAAAAATGCTGAGTTCTGAGAACACTCAAGCTAACTGGAATGCAAACAGTGAAACTGACTGAAAGGAGGTTTGGTGTGCCTAGTCAGATGAAGGGGCGTCTGGCCCATGACCCAGCAGCGCTGCGTCAGCCTGCTGTTTTAGAGGTATCCCTCGCCTGTGTGCACGGACAGATACGGATATGTGCATGTCGACCACAGCGTTTGTGTAACCTCTAGTGTGGAATTTAGGAGGCAGTAAGTAGCAGAAGGGTCAGGAACTCAAAGCCAGCCTGGTTTACATGAGTCTCTGCCTCAAAAAGAAAAAGGCTCAGGATTTTCTCCATGAAGGTCTTACACGTATTACATATCCTGTGTCGGATTTGTCATGAAATCCTGCATTCGCTACTATAGATGACAGATTTTTAGAATTATATTTTGTTTATTGCCGCTAAGTAGTAACACTTTACTTTGAACGTTTCTATTTTGACATATTTTTAAACTTTTATTCATTGTTTTCAGGCATTTTGAAACAGTATATTATTACTATGTAGCCCAGGCCGGCCTCAAACTCAAGGTGATCCTCCTGCCTCAGCTTGCTGAATATTGAGATTACAGGCAAGAGCCATCACACCCTGCTTGATATTCCAAAATTAATATCCATAATGATCGTAAGTAGTCAGCCACTTGTTTTACCCTGTTATAAATCATATTTGCTTGTACATCCTCCTGGGTTTTATCATCCATAACTGATCATGCTGAGACTAGCACAGGCTGTGGGGGCAGGAAACTGCCTGCACACGCCAGGACCACCAAGCAAGCAACAAGAAGAAAAAGAGGAAGGCTGCTATGGTTTTGGTTTTTAGCCTGTTTCTTGATGGACTCTTAAAAGTGACCTTGTAGAGCTCTGGCTTTGAAATGGGGAGCATTAACCAGCAACTGTGGTACAGGAGGGCAGGCCCTAAAGTCACACTCCTCTGTGTAGGAGGAGTGAGGCCAGCCTGGGGTACTTGAGACCCCATCTTTAAAAAGCAAAACCTCAAATAAACAAGTATTTATTTAATTTTTAATTCAGTGCAATAGCAAAATTCCAAATTCAAAGCTCAGTCTTAACTTTCTCTCCCTCAGCTTTGGATGGGGTACACAGATGGTTTCTTCCCATTATCCCCCTCCTATCCGGGACCAGAACCAAGGGCCTGCTAAACTCAAACTTTGTTATTGCCTCTGTGGTGGTGCACACCTTTAATCCCAGCATTTGGGGAGGCAGAGGCAGGTGGAACTCTGAGTTCGAGGCCAGACTGGTCTACAGAGTGAATTCCAGGACGTCCAGAGCTACACTGAGAAACTCTGTCTCGTAAAATCAAAAACCAAAAACAAAATAAAAATAAAAAAGAACTTACAGGAAATTATACCTTCCATGAATACAAACATGTCACCTGAAATATTAGTTAGTAATAGTGTAATGATTGCTAAGTAAGAAAACTAGCCAGAATTTAAAACTTTTTTTATTGAGTTTGTTTTTTGACAGTTTCATACATGTATTGTGTGCATTCTAATTATTATAATTAATCTTCCCATTGAGTCTCAAGAAATTATATATAAAATATAAAAACTAAAACAACTAGTCAGATTTTAAAGGACATTTACCTCAAACATAGTAGCAGCAGCCATTCTGGGTTTCTTATAAGTTTCCTTTACATAAATGATATTTCACAGGTACATTAATAGCTATAGGGAACAGAACATAGTCATTACAGCTTTTAGTTAATGGTAGTGTAATGCTCTTGTGAGTACTTTTATTTAAGATCCTAGGCTCTGAACTGGTGTCTGTGCTGCTGCTGGGGGTGTGTGGGACATCTTACTAATCCTTCTGAGACTGCTTGTGAAAAGCAGCTGTCAGTTTAAAGTCATCTTTATCCTAGAAGGCATAGTCCTTCGGTGTCATTCCTCAGTGTCACTAGAACACAACTAAGTCACCTGTGTGATGCAGAGCTAGCAGTTGACAGGTAGAGGCAGGAGGAGCAGGCGTTCGGGGGCATCGTTGGCTGTGTGAGGCCCTGTCTCCACACACAAAAAAAAAAAACCCTAAAAAAAAGAGACACTCAGAGAGAATTGAATGTTGCAAATTTTACAACATATAAAAACAGACGCAAACAACCTACTCATTGCTTTTTTTGTAATTTACTGTTTATTTTTGAGATTGGGTCTCATGTAGCTCAAGCTGGTCTTGAACTTCTGATCTTCCTGCCTCCACTTCTGGAGTGATGGGATTGCAGGCATATGCCATCTCATCTAGTTTATTCAGTGACCCAGGGTTTCATATAAGCTAGGCAAGCACTGCCAACAGAACAGCCCCATTCTCTATTTCTTAATTTCATTTCTTATTGCCTGGCCAGGCTGCATAACTATATCTTGTAAATGGACATTTCTTGTCCCGACTGCCTGGTCCCAAATAAACACACAGAGGCTTATATGAATTGTAAATACTCAACTGTTGGCGTAGGCTTGTTGCTAGCTAACTCATACATTTAAATTAACCCACATTTCTATTTATGCTTTGCCATATGGCAGTACCTTTATTAGCATGGCACATTCGTCTCCTCCCTCTGCATCTGGCTGGTGACTCCTGACTCCGACCTTCTCATTCCCATCATCCTTAGTTTGGTCGCCCTGCCTATACTTCCTGCCTGGCTACTACCCAATCAGCGTTTTATTAAACCAATTCCAATGACAAATCTTTACAGTGTACAAGAGGATTATTCTACACCAATATCTAAATACAGTGAAAAAAAAATCTCATGCTTCTTTCTGTACTGTTATCTAAATCTCTATTCTGTAACACTTACAGTGGTTGGTTTTTTTGTTTTTGTTTTGTTTTTTCCCTTTAATTTTTCAAGACAGTGTTTCTCTGTGTAACAGTCCTAGCTGTTCTAGAACTTGCTCTGTAGACCAGGCTGGCCTTGAACTCACAGAGATCCGACTGCCTCTGTTTCCCATGTGCTGGGATTAAAGGCGTGGGCCATCACCACCCGGCTAGTGGTTGCTTTTTTAAAAGATTTATTTATTTTATTTTATTTTTCTAGATTTATTTATTTATTATGTATACAGTGCTGTGTCTGCATGGCCAGAAGAGGGCATCAGATGTGGTTGCTGGGAATTGAACTCAGAACCTCTGGAAGAACAGCCAGTGCTCTTAACCTCTGAGCCATCTCTCCAGCCCCAGTGGTTGAGTTTTTTTCAAAGCATAATGAATGAGTTATCTGAATTCCTTTTTTTTTTCTTGTCTTTCAGATGAGAAAAGTAAACCAGAAACCAAAGAGTCAGCCGCAGAGTATGACACTTCCCTCAAGTTCCCTCAAAGCACCATGATGGAAAGGCTCATGGAGGAGGACACTGTTTGTTCTACATTGACAAAAGCCTCCAGCTACGATGAGACATTAGAAAGGCACCAGGAAACCCGTAGGAAAGGTGGGAGGCGAGTTGTTTTGACCCACAAAAAGGGACATCAAGAAGCGAACAAATTCGGGGAAAACCTTGAAGGTTCCAATGTTATTTTAGAGCAGAAGCACCATAAATACAACCCCGCTAGGAGGAGGAACAAATGTAAATTAGATTCAACTAACAGTCCAATGAGCTGCATAGGAGCCAGGCTGTATGGGTGTAATATATGTGAAAAAATGTTCAAACAACCTATTCACCTTACAGAGCACATGCGAATTCACACTGGTGAGAAACCCTTCAGATGTAAGGAATGTGGACGGGCCTTTAGTCAGAGCGCATCTCTTACTACACACCAGAGAATCCACACTGGAGAGAAGCCCTTTGGATGTGAGGAGTGCGGCAAAGCCTTCAGGCATCGCTCATCGCTCAACCAGCATCATAGAATTCACACTGGAGAGAAACCGTTCGTCTGTGATAAATGTCAGAAAGCTTTCAGCCAGAACATCAGCTTGGTCCAACACTTGAGGACTCATTCTGGAGAGAAACCCTTTAGCTGCCATGAATGCGGGAAAACTTTCCGACAGATTAGACACCTCAGTGAACACGTAAGAATTCACACTGGGGAGAAGCCCTATGCGTGCACTTCCTGCTGTAAAACGTTTAGTCATAGAGCATATCTCACACATCACCAGCGAATCCACACTGGTGAGAGACCCTACAAATGTAAGGAATGTGGGAAAGCCTTTAGGCAAAGGATACACCTTAGCAATCATAAAACTGTTCATACAGGAGTGAAAGCCTATGAATGCAACCGTTGTGGGAAAGCCTACAGGCACGATTCATCCTTTAAGAAACACCAGAGACATCACACTGGAGAAAAACCTTATGAATGTAATGAGTGTGGAAAGTCCTTCAGCTACAACTCGTCACTGAGCCGACACCATAAAACACACAGGAGGAACTCTTGTCAAGACAATGTCTAAAAAATGATACAGGCCATGGGAACAAAAGCACCTCTAAATTGGTGAATCTAAGCTTTCAAATTTCAGGACTCAGATAAATTTGAGAAGTTGATAATTATTAATAATGGCAACTTTTATTTTACCAATAGCGTAAATACATGCTACTATTGATTACCACTGTCTCACGTTTGCAAAATGATAAATTCAGCATTATGAAAAATTCACAATTTTTTTCTCATTTCTGGTAGATGAATAAATTATTTCTTTATGGATTCATTTTGGGAACTTCTGTTTCAAATGTTATCACCTGGGCTGGGGAAGTGGCTCAGCAGGTAAAGGCACTTGCCCCTAAGCATGGTAACCTACCTGATTTTGACCGTGGGCTCCGTGTGGTCGGAGGGAACTGGCCTCCACAAACTGGGCTCCGATCTCCGTGTGTGCTAGGCACACACACTAATTTTAAAACATTACCCCTGTCCTTTTACGAGAGTCACAGTTTTGACTATCTTTTCACCAAGCTAGTGAAATTGTGATTTACCATACTGAATTAAATCTAGGACATCATGCATGATTGGCAGGTGCTACCACTAAGCAGCAGCATCCACTTTTTCCCCCATTTTTTGAGACAGTCTTTCTTCCCCAAGGCTGACCTCAAATTTATTATGTAGTCAAGAACGGTCTTGAAATTATGATCCCTCTTGTCTCTCATGGTCAGGAGTTACAAACGTGGGCTACCACACTTTTTTTATGCAGTCCTGGGGACTGATATCAGAGCTTTGTATGCCTGACGATCACCCTATCAACTAAGGTACAGCTCAGTACTTTAGCTTTTTTTTTTCTTTTTTTAAAGTTTTGGGACTAGACTCACTGAGTTGCCCAGGCTGGCCCCAAACTCACGGTGCTTCTACCTTAGCATTCTGCGTAGCTAAGATTATAGGTTTATGCCATGAGGCTCAACTCAAACCCTGCTGAGTATAGCCAGTTTTTCCCCTAGAGGTCTTTTCTTAAGTTTGCAGAGATGTCCAAACTTGACATTGCAACATGAAATTCACACTCAAAGAACTCTGCAGTTGGGGGCTGGAGAGATGGTTCAGCCATTCAGAGTTCATGCTGCTACTTCGAGGACCCACGTTTGGCTTCCAGCATTCACCTCAGGCCTCTCACAACTCCATGTAACTCCAATTCCAGGGTTCTCTAACACCTCCAGCCTTTGTCAGTACGCGCGCGCGCACACACACACACACACAGGTAATTTTTAAAAGTTTTAACCTTGAAATTGAGCTTAGAAGATCTCAAAGTAACTACAGTTTTGTGTTGAGCTTAAATCTTAACTCTCCTGGAGTGAGTGTAGCCCCTAAGCTGCCCCTTGCCTTGGTCTGTGGCCAGTACCTGCTTGATTACAGTTTACCACATAGAGTCACTCCTCCTGCTGATACAGGTATGTTTTCCCTATGACTCTTAGCATTCTCTTCTGTGGCCATATACTTGGTCTAATTGGTCTTATTGCCATTTTACACTTCAATTACATCTCCATCCTAGAAGTTCCTGAGCTCCAAAATACGTTCAATGTGGATATTGATTATTCCACAATTGCTTCAAACTCAACATGTTGGAACCTTTTACTATCTTTTCAGTAAAGTCTGTATTTCTTAACTCAGAAAGTTGTACCACCATCGATCCAACTCTTCAGCTGAAACTTGTTCTCAGCCATTACCTTCCCCAATGAGTCGCAAAGTACTGTTCTAGGACAGCCTTGGTTTACTACTCCATAGGTCAGGTCAACCTTCAAGTTCTTAGCACTTCCTAACTGCTTAGTCATCAGCTGATCTGCCTCTAGCACAGTAGTTCTCAACCTGTGGGTTGCAACCCATGGGGGCGGGGGGAAATTAACGACCCTTTCACAAGGGTCACATATCAGATATTTATAATTCAGAACAGTAGCAAAATTACAGTTATGAAGTAGCAATGAAAATAATTTTATAGTTGGGGGGTCACCACAACATGAGGAGCTGTATAAAGGGTCGCAGCATTAGGAAGGTTGAGAATCACTGCTCTAGCAAATCTGTACTCCATATGCTGCTACAATGACATACTAAAACACACACCCAATCATCATTGCTTAAAATCCATCAGTTATTTATGATTAAGTGAAGAAAAAGGTGTAGCAGGAATCTTAGAGAGTCTTATTAATAAAATCAAACCTGAGGCCAGTTATTGGGGTCAATGCTGGTAGATCAGAGACAGAACAAGCCACAGCTATCTCACCTTGCCAGTTCCTCAGTTGGTCTTGTTTCCTCAGACTGGAAGCTTCTGTGTCCTCATCCCAATGGCTCTCAGCTGAACTGCTGCTCAAAATCCTGAATGCTTAACCAGCCAAATGCTTAACCAGCCAAATGCCTAACCAGCTAAATGCTGCTAGTTTCTGGTCCTCACACCTTATAAACATTTCTGCTTTCTACCACCACTCCCTGGGATTAAAGGCTGCTTTCTGGGATTAAAGGCGTGAGTCACCATGCCTGGCTGTTTCCAATGCAGCCTTGAACTCACAGAGATCCAGAGGGATTTCTGTCTCTGGAATGCTAGGATTAAAGGCGTGTGCTAACATTTTCTAGCCTAAGTATCTTGTGGCTTTTCTGTTCTCTGACCCCAGATAAGTTTATTAAGGTACACAATATTTTGGGGAACGCAATACCACCACATTTCCTCTCTTTTTGTCTAAAATTAAAAAAGGCTTATAACTAATACAAGAAAAACTATCCAATAAGTATATACAATATATACAGCCAAAAATTACATTAATGATGCTAGTCCATTAACATTTGACAGATTCAGATAAAAACTCCATTATATATATTAACAATGTCCAGTCCAGTAACATCTGATAAACTCAGACCAAAAATTTTCATTACTTATCTTATTTAAAACAAGTAGTTCCTTTTTAAAAGTAGATTCCATAATCTCCCTTTTTATCTTATCATATCCATATTCTCTCTTTTTTCTTTCCATAATACATTCAGTAGTCTACCTTTTGTGATTTTTATATCTTCCCCTTTTTCTTCAGTGTAGATTCGGTGATCTACCTATCTATATCCTATTATTTATCTTTTTTCTCAGAGTAGATTCAATGATCTATCTCATCTTATTCTCTTTTTCTTTTTGCTTTCTAGGGGTGAAGATATCTTTAGGGAATCTTGAAGAGAAAATTTTTGGGTTAATTGTCAAGTCCTGTATCATTTGTCCAGTCTCTGCATAAAAAGAAAGTTCAGGGCTTGTCACAAGTCCTTGCTCAAGTAGTCTGTCAGGCTGGATCATCTCAGCTAGTCATCTCGAAATTGTCCTGACCAGTTTGTAGTCCAAAGCAGATCTTTCCGTGGTGTTAATCAGCCTAATGGCTTTACCATAGTCCATGTGGAATCATCATTGTGGAGTCCTGTCATCTTTTTGAAGATTTCAAAGTCACTGTTAGACGTGGTCATGGTTCCCTGCAGACTTTTTTTTTTTTCCTCCTCTGTGGTTTGGAGTAATCACAGTCTGATAAATGTCTGTCTCTCGGAACCATGAACATTCTTCCCTAGAACAGAAAATCTTCACAGCAATTTCTCCCCACCATTTGTTTTGCCAAACTTTTCCAAACTGACCTTTGCCGATGCTTTCTTGTAACACGATGGTCCTGGCAATTCTTCTCTGAACAAGCAGCAGTAAGCCCTTTGTCCCAGGTAGCAGCATCACCACAGTCACCAGCAGGATGAGACGTAGCCAGCAACATGGAGCAGCAGCCACTGCCTCCATGGACCCACTGCTATTTGTCGTTCAGCCTGGGGCGAAGCTTCTCCCAAGCCTCATAGGCCGGCCTCAAACTTGGGATCCTCCTACCGGCCAAGTGTAGCTTGGGCCTGAGCTGGGGCCCACAAGACCACAGACAAGCAGCTTTTTTGTGAATTCATACCACGAACGTTGGGCGCCAGATGTAGCAGGAATCTTAGAGAGTCTTATTAATAAAATCAAACCTGAGGCCAGTTATTGGGGTCAATGCTGGTAGATCAGAGACAGAACAAGCCACAGCTATCTCACCTTGCCAATTCCTCAGCTGGTCTTGTTTCCTCAGACTGGAAGCTTCTGTGTCCTCATCCCAAAAAGGTCATCTTATCTAAGTGCAGAACCATTGGTACTATTTCCACTCAAACACATTTTGACTTTGCCATAAAGATTTTGTGGTCCCCAAATACCCAGTCATATTACTGGATTTTCTTGGGGCCTTATGCTGAGCTCTGGTAGCATTATCAGGCTAAGCTTGGCCACTAACCTTCTGTATCCCCTTAAAGAAAGAAGCAGAGAAGCCTGGTGGTGGTGGTACATGCCTTTAATCCCAGCACTTGGGAGGCAGAGGCAGGTGGATCTCTGTGAGTTTGAGGCCAGCCTGGTCTACAGAGTGAGTTCCAGGACAGCCAGGGCTGTTACACAGAAAAAAAACCAAAGAGGGAGGGGGGCATGCATTGAGACCACTTTGGAAAGAGGAACAGAGGTCTAATGATTCCCAAGACCATCTTTGGGGGGTCCTAACATGTGGTTTACGTTTATTTGTTTTTGGTTTTGGAGACAGGGTTTCTTGTGTGGCCCTGGCTGTAATCCCGTGCTGGGATTAAAGGTGTGTGACACCATGCCCGGCCGGCTAAGTTTAGGTTTAAAGAGGCCAAGAGAGATGCACAACTAAGCTGTTGCGGTCCTGCCCATGCGGTCCTATCTCCGCTTCAGCGGTTCCCTTCCTCCAGCACGGGATTCTGGGAAATTAATGTCTCTGGATCCACTCTTCAACAGTGCCAAAGGGGGAGGCTTCCCTCTTTGCCCCTGCCACCCTGAGTGAAGTCTTGTTGGCTTTCGCCCCCACCTGTGCGATTTCCTCTTTTTCTGCCCAAGTTCTTTGGCATCCATTGGTCCACAGATCAGAGAATGATACAATACACTTTATATATATATAAAACCCTGGATTTCTAAACCCTTAAATTCTTGACTGAATGTATGAACCAAAAGGCCAGACCTTATCTTTTTGGAGTTTACACTCAAGTCTAAAAGCCCAGTGCTGAGGTTTTAGGTGTGGGTCCCCAATGGGCTGGAAAGTATTTCTCAAAAATAGAAACAACTGGGCCTGGAGGGATGGCTCAGAGGATAAGAGCACTAGCTGCTCTTGCAGAGGAACTGAGTTAGTTTCCCTGTGCCCACGTGGCTCTCAAACCTTCTCTAACTCTAGTAGTTCCAGGAGATCCGACCCCCCTCT